GCGCTGTGGAGGATGCCATCTACACGCTCAAGGGGACCAGTGACGACCTGTGCGATGAGTCTAAGGAGATTCGGGCGCAGGCGCGTGCGGTGATCGCAGAGAGGAAGAAAGCCGCTATCGCTAAGAAGCAGTGAGGCGTCGCATTTTCGCTTTAATCTCAAGGAGTGGCAAGTGGCGGTGCGCTACTTTTCCGTGTGGTAGTGAAAAGTTGGCAGAGCCTATGGCACTGCTGCTGCGCACGCAATTTGAGCCATTTACCATGTGCGTTACACACGTCTGATCCATCGATGGGGTGTCTACGCTGGCTGAAAATGTCCTGCACGCATATGGCTTTGAGCATTTGGAAAGCTTGCGATGTGTTTGTTGGATTACTTGTTTCCGGATGAGCCACGCAGGTGCGATCAGTGTGCCAAACCCATTGACGGACTTGCGCGCGGACTTGGACCGTGCGTGCCTTGGCAGAACGCTGTGTCAGGCTGTTTTGTCATCTTCCCTTCTGACACGCTTCTTGAGTTAGTCAGTGCCACCAAATATAGAATTTGTTCTTTTTGAATCCGGATTTCAATTTGAAGGGTGCCCCCATCTCAAACTCCTATGTTTCAACCCCTTCTCAAAAAACGTGCCCAAAGCCAACCACCCCTCCCCAAATCCCAGCCCACACCCGTAAAGAAAAGCGTTGTGTAAATCCAGCCCAGGTTGCTGTCCAACATCGGATCTGGCCAATCGTCCGTGCGAGCAGCTCATGCAGTTGCTTCCGTTTACGGTAGCCGAGTTGTTACGCGCCCTGGCGAATAAGCGCTCCGGGCTTCCACGCCATCTGCAGTTCTTGAAGCACGTGCCATATGTCTTGGCCTGAGCCGAGTTCTGATCGTGAACGCGGTCTACACGAGCGGGCTCATCAAAACGACATTGGATTGCCATGCCGCATTAGATGGCTGACAGTTCCTATGAAGAAGGAACCCACGGATAACTCCCCTGTTCATGATGTTCAGTGGCCCTTTCTTCTCCCACATGATTTCGCCCCTTGTTTGCAACTAAACCCTTCTTCTGCAGTAGGTTTGAACCTGGTGTCACACATTCTTGTTAGTTACCACTGGAGGTCGAATCGTTGATCGCCAACGGGCACTTGAATGCGTTGGCGAAGGATTTGAGGGAGCTCCCTGAGTTCTGGGATAACTTTTTGATGGACTTCCCGAACCACCCCGTTGGGTTTGGAAACAAACGGACGCAGTCTTTGGGCTGCACGCTCTATTGCGCCTCACTTTGCATTGCGAGGGAACTTTGACCGTGGCCAAATTTACATGTGTGGTTTTAGGGGCCCTGGAATCTGGAACAACCAAGGTGATGAAGGGAAAAGCCAGGGCGAACTGTGGATGCATTACATGTGGAGCAGTGATGCGTCACCGTTCTTAACCAACTCGGCAGCGAGCCGGTTCCTGATTTGCCTGGTTCCCGCTAGCTTGTACGCCTTTGATGAGTCCGGGTACAACATCACCCTGGATGCCGCTATGAAACACATTACGGAAAGCTTCAACAAGCTATCCCTGACCGGTGTGCCGTTGTGCGACCTTCCCAGTCGCGGAAACAAGCAAGCGCCTTGTCCGAAGTTCGGTTGCGTGCGCCAGTGTGTGCGTCTGTGTCAGTGCGGCGCACGTTTGTGCTTTGGCTAGCCCGCTTGCGCTTTGCGTGTTTGTGCGCGTGTGTGTGTGTGTGCGTTTGTGTGTGCGTGTTTTTGCGTGTGTATGTGTATGTTTGTGTTTCTGTTCTTGCGTGTTGACATGATGTTGTGTTCGTGTATTTTTGTGTCTGGGATCTGTGGCTGTTTGTTTGCTCGCTTGCCAATTTGTGTGTGTGTGTGTTTGTGTGTGTCTGTGTCTGTCTGTGCTGCAATTGTGTTGATGTTGTGCGTGGCCGCGTGCTCATGCAGTTGCGTGTCCATGCTTGCTTTCGCATGCGCTTGTTTGGTGTTTTTTTTGGTGTGTGTGTGTGTGTGTGTGTGTCGTGCGCTGTGTTTTGGATCCGTGCGCCCGTGTGCGTGTGGGCGTGTGCGTGCCTGTGTGTTCGTGAGCGCGTGCGTGTTTGCGTGTTTGCGTGCGCGCGCGTGTGTGTGTGTGGGTGGGTGGGTGGGTGGGTGGGTGCGTGGGTGCGTCCGTGCGTGCGTGTGTGTGGGTGTGCGCGTATCTGTGTGAGCGAGCGTGCATTCGTGCGTGCGTGCGCGCGTGCGCGCTTGGGTGCTTGTGTGTGCGTGTGTCTCTGCGCGGGCGGGCGCAGGCGCGGGCGTGAGAATTCGCAAAGTGCTTCATCAGGTTTTACTCCTCTTCTTCTTTGTCACTGGCTTTCGTGGTGATTGGAAAGCATTGAAGCAATCGTTTCACTTCGTTCGCCACTACTCTACGAATGAGGCAGGGGAATTTTTGGGCAACCAAACAAAACATTGAGCTGGCTTTTTTGGACCGAATGCGAACTCGTCACCCTGCCAGATTTGCTGGCTGTGCCTGGCCACGAAAGGTGAGCCCGGCACCGAGCCTCTCACGTTCACAGACGGACGCCCTGTGGCACCTTGGTGGGCCACGCAGGGCGCGTCAAACCCTTGGCCAGACGACTGCCCACCCCCATACCAAGATCTTGTCGGGTTCCAGGGCCCAGAAATGATCCATGGTGACTTATTACATCTCTTCCACTTAGGAGTGGGAAGAGATATGTGTGGAAGTATTCTTCGGATTGTACTTGGGGAACAACGCATGTTTCCTGGCCGGAGAATCGAGCTACGACTTGCTGAAGCTACATCACGCCTCAAGGCCTTTGCAAGTGCTTCGCGCACCAACCTGCGATTGAAGAAGCTGACCAAAACCAAACTGAATTGGAAGAGCAATGCTTTCCCCGAGCTGCGGAGCTCTGGGTTTGATACGAAGGTTGTGGTATCATGGCTGGCCCATGAGTTTGTCGCTCTGAACGACCCCTCCTACCACCCTGAGATTGCCACGCTGCTGTGGTCTGCGGACACTGTCATGCGCACCATGGCGTGCTCAGGACGGTGGATGACCCAGGAAGAACTTGACACAAAGACCGTATGCGGTCAGCTTTTCGTTCGACTCTATTTGACACTTGCTGACCGTTCCATGGTTGCGAGGGAGAAACTGTGGCGCCTGAGGCCCAAATTTCATATGCTGAACCACTCGCTATGTTCCCGCCCTGCTTCCAAGTTGAACCCCTGGGTTTTTTCGACATGGATGGATGAAGACGCAGTGCGTCGACAAATGCATTTGGTTCGAGCCGCTCACGCACGCACCTGCCAATCTCGAACGCTGCAAAGGTGGCTACTAGGGTTTCCAGCTGTGCTGGCATCCTGCCAGCGCAACAGAGTGCGTGGCTAAATGGGAAAATGGTTTTGAATCCACAGGAGGGCCAGTTTTCGGGGATCTGCGAAAACATTCAGAGGGAAAAGAGAACAACAGAGGTAATAGATGGTTCAGATTGGGTTTGGGCTCCACATTTGCCCCACTGCCTGGCATTAAAGGTGTGCGTTGCCCCAGGAGCGATTGTCCCGGACCTGTTTTTCCTTTTGGCGGGCTTCCTTTTCGGGGATATTCGGTCGACATATCAGAGTTTACCCGCAACAGCCCATGACTTTTAAACAAGGAACTTTCACTGGGGTCAAAAGAGTGCCTTGTACGGTTCAAGGAGGTGGGGTAAACAAAAATGCCTTCGCCACATATGCATTTTGCCGTCAGGCAGCCGAAGCTGGTTCTGTCGGCATCCCGGGACCCCTCCTGATTTCCCAAAATAAGACGCCCACAAAGGACTCGAATGACAATGGGTCTACTGCAAACAAGTTGCCCTTGGCACAAAAAGCAGCGGGCGCGCCACCCCCTTTCAAAATTCAGGTTTGCAGGGCTGGCAGGACCACACTCCAGTAAGCTACTTTTCGGCATTGGTTTGTTGAAGATAAACTCTGTTTAGAAGGGAAATTTGAAGGGACAATCACAGGTTGAAATCATTTGACGGAATAGAACCAACTGCAACGCCTCTTCAACGACTCGGCGAGCCAATCAATTAACCTCATCCTCTCCTGGTTACCCTAAACAGTTACGGGATACTCACCTATAGGTGCGTGGGTTTTTGCTGTTTAAGACCACCAAAACAGAAACAACACACTTGAGTTCCGTTGGTTGCCGTGGTCATTCTGCGCACACACGCGTGTTTTCTTTGTATATATATATATATATACACACACGTGGATTTCACACCAAATATGTTGAACACACATGTGAGGGCGTGATTCACACATACAACACACACGTTTACAGACACGTTTGCAAACTTACACGCCTGTAGTGCAACACACGCGCGGACGCGCAAATACTCACACGCACGCCTGCGCGCGCGTGCTGGGCCCTAGGTCTTTGGCTCAAGGGCCACATTTGCCCTGCAACAGGCGTAGCCACACTCTTGGCCAAACCAAGCCCGTGAAAACACAGTGGCCGTGAAAAACGCCAATGGCCGTGAAAATTGTGCCGTGTGGTCGAGAAGGAAATGTCCCCGTGAAATGTGGTTGAATGGTTGTCCAGGATTGGTAGATAGCTCACGCACCAAGCAGAGCGCAACGCGATGGTCATGATGGTGGGCGGACGTGTTTGGCAGTTTTCCAAAACTGGCCAAACCCGACAGGCAATGCTCGATGTTGTTAATTATTCATAACACAACTGTCAACCACGACAAGTTCGAATGCCGGGCTCCTCATGCAGTTTAATCTTTGCTGGTTCTCAGCACGGAACGAGCGAATCGCCTTTATGGACCATCCCCAAGGTTCAGGGAACAAGCATTTGGGGACCCCCCCCAGAAACAAAATGGAATTTTGGCTTTCCTCCCAGTTTCCCCTCTACCACCCACAAAAAAATCAAAAAAATGGAATTTCCGGTTTTCCTCTTGGTTTCCCCTCTACCACCCAAAGAAAAACACACCTCTTTGGAGGCTACCCGGCAAAATCCGTCTCCGACTGCCTCCACCGGCACCGCGATCATCGCCACCACCAGCAAGCCCCGCTTCGCTTCGTCGGAAGCCGCGGCTTCCGCTTCCGCCGGGCGCTTCTGGGGGCGCCAGCGGGGGCACGGGGACCTGGGGCGCCAGGGGTCCGTGGCGAGATGCAGCAGCAGCTTCCTGCCGTGGCCAAAGCGGGATCGGTCTCCGGTTCGAACCTGACAATTGGTGGCCCCTTTGGTCCAGAAGCTTCCAGTCAAAACGGTCCGGTCGAAGGTTGGACCCGAAAAATGGAAGGCGCCATGCTTGGGATTTTTCAGAAATGGGGTTCTTCATTTGAGTCAAGGGTTTTTAGATGCAAGTCGTAGTCACTGGACCCAGCCAGGTGCCTTTTTGCACAAGAAGCCACTACTTTGGGAGGTCCAAATCCTTGAGGTCCCATTCTCGTCCCTTCAAGAAAATGCACGTCAGGGGGTCCATGCATTTGTCGACCCCCCGCTCTACAACAGCCAAGCGGAACCACCAACCAGTGTCTCACTTGGACAACAGAAATGGAATCAAAATCATGACCCTGTCAACTGGCCAACCGCCCGAGTGGACAAGCCACAGGCAACCAGGGCTTTCGACTGGCAACATGAGCGTCTTGTGGGAAACAGGCGACACCCCAGCCCCTTTTTGGGCGGGCGTCATCATGTTTTTGTTCATTGGCGGACTTCAAGAGATTGGGCAAAGAAGGAATCGTCAGATCACTCAAAGAGATTCTAGATTTCTTAAACTCAAGTCATGCATCTGGAATGAAGGACTGTCCAGAGGATCCTTCGTCCTGGGGCCCGGCATGATTCTGTCGCAAAGCATACGTCGTATGCTTTATGTCCACCAGCCGTTTAAGAGGATACATTCATCATTCAAAACGAAAGGCATTTCGGTTGCTCCAACCATTCCAATTGGTCTCAAATTTCTCAGTGCCACGGATTCACCAGTGACCATCTCCCTTCCAAAACAAAAGGGCAACGAACCCCTAACAAAAGAAGAAAACAACAGTTTAATTACACAAACAAAAACAAAAAAAAACGCCAACAAACCCTGAACACAACCCACGCGCACCTGTATTTCATTGGCCTCCCCCCTGCCGCTTTCGCGCCGCTCCTCACCAAATAGTGTCGTAGCTCTGGCTGGTCTCCCGTGGTGTGCATCAGGAAGTCGAAGAAGCGCTGAGAGGTGGGACGAGGCCCGTGACGAGGCAGGAGACATGTGGCCATGGGTCAAAACCCAAATCGTACCCAGTTAACATCTCGTACCCCTGCTAAAATAGGTTCGAAAATGGGTGGTGAATTCACCTACCCTGTAATACAAGGGAACCTCCTCTTTATCTGGCAGGTTTGTCCTTGGCCACCGTTTTGGGTTTATGTTGGATGACTCCAATTGCTCGCGGACCTATTTCCAGTTAGAATGCTATCGGAAAAAAAAGATGATCGCCTTCCGGAACCGGGACTAGAACGGGTGTCGATTTTTTCCCCAGATAGCTGAAGGCTATAGGGGTTCTCCCCAATCAGCACCTACACCAGCACCCCAAACCGCACGCCCCCCTAGCACCAGCCCAATCTCGCAAATAACTTTCCCCTCTTTATTAGAAGTTAGAAGTTTGAGGTGCTGATGGCAGTGCGGCGCATCTTTTAAAGATTGATCGTAGGGTGCTAGGGGGCATGCAGTTTGGGGGGCTTGTGCAGGTGCGGTTTTGGGGGGTGACGGTGCGCGCGCATTTCTGCATCTTGTCGGTAGGACCCGTAGGACGCAGGGGTAATGCAATTTGGGGTGCTGGTGCTGATGGTGCTGTGGGACTCAGTTTGTGGGGAGCTGTTTGAGATAGTGGTGGTGCGCGCGCGGGCGCATTTTTGCGATATTGACGCTCGGGTGCTATCGGGCACGCAGGTGACGGTGCAGGCGCATGTTTGCATCTTGGGCGTGTTGGGGGGGTGCTGTTTGGGGTGCTCTTCAGGGTGATGGTGCGGGCGCATTTCTTGCTCGATTGTCGGATGGGTTTTGCTTGGGGCGTTCTTAGGGGGGGGAGGGTGCTTTTGGAGGTGCTGCACTGCTATCTGGGGTCTATGCTGGTGCATTGATTTATTTAAGGACCCGCTTGGGTGTGTGGTTTCCTGATGGTTTCCCTGTAAAACTATCCAAAACGGGTACCAACTAAGAATCGACCCCCACCCCCCCCCCCCCCAAACAGACAAAGGAAAAACAACCACAAGGGCACCAGGTCGATTCGCCCAGAAATTCTTATGCTCGTTGAGACCCATGGTTACACTCACCTGGATTTTGTCCAGGAGGCTCCGGAGTTCTGAGACACTCTTTCAGCATTCCTTTCGCACCTTAGGCATCCTCCGGGCCTGGTGAAAAAATTGGGGCCCGAGACCCGGGAAAAAAAAGGAAACCGGCAAGCCGCCAGGACTCCAAGCTTGGAGTCAAGAGGAAACCGGGACCCAAAGAGTCCCGGATGAGCGCGTTCTTTTTAGGCGCCCAGAATTGAAGGGTGGCTTCTCTGTTTGTCCTTCAAAACACCCAAGAAAGGGTTCAGTGACTGGAAAAAGCGGTCACAACTTGGGTCGAACTTCAAACCCCCTAGCCACGGGGCTCCGAAGAGTTTCCCAGCGAAGCGACCGAAGAGGGTTGGTAGCGCAATCGACACCAAAAGCATGCCAGCCGTTGGGGGTCATTTTGAGAAAACCCTCATGTACCTTGAATGATTTCCATAAAGTGGTTAGATGACTTCGGATCCGAAGCGAAGTCGTGTGCCAATCGTGTCAATGCGTTGCTGCATCAATGGCCTGAAAACAGAATCAGATGCATCCAGGCCAGGACATTGCCAAGGCACAAGCAAAAGTATGGTACAAAGAGGGAATCCAGGGAAACCAAAGGAAGCACAGTGGTTAGATGACAGGAGCTGCATGTTCATGCGGGAGGGTAGGCTTTCTGTGCCCCAACCCCTGAGTGCTCTTTGGGTGACGTGAAAAAGGATACTTCGTGATGTGGGTAGCAACCATAGCGAAGAGGTCGTCAACTGTCCTGCCACTTTCTTTTTGGGGTTGGTGATCTACGCGAACCCAGAACGTCGGTTGTATGCTCTTCAGGGAAACCTGGTCATTTGGGGTTATGGGGCGACTGCATTTTTGTTTGACTTTGTGGAGATTATTGAAAGGGAAACCAAAGGGAAACCATTGCTGGTGAATCAACTAATCAAGGAGATGCTTCGGGTGTTTCAGGGTGTTGCTTCTGCCTAGGTCCAGAATCCTTGCTTTCCAGAAATCCAGCGCACAGACCTTTGGCTATTCGATGCATGTGTTTGTCTGCTTGATGCCTTGATGAAATCCTTGTCAAGCCAGGCTCTCAGGTAAGTCGCAATCAAGCCTGGCATCAGCCTGGAGTCTCCCCAAGAGACCCTTTGGTTTCCCTTCACGGCCAACCAAAAAGTGGCGCCCTCAACAAAAGTCACCCCCCAAAGAGTTCAAAGGACTTGTTTTCCCCCCGCGCATCGGGTATATAATTAGCTACTGCCCCCGACCTTCCCGGATACCTGGGTGTTCAAAGTTAGTAAGTTGTGGGTAACCTAGGTTGTAGCCCACTTATAAGCCTCCTCAAGTTACCCGATCATCTGAGGGTGTGTTCACCCAAGTGGCTAACCACCTACAAACTTGGCGAATCGAACACCCGACCGACTGCAACTAACGTCGCCTCGTGCTCCTTCGGCACGTCGGAGGCGTTCGAAGCCGACGCCACAGCCACGGAAGCGACAAGCCAAAGGAGGCATAGGGCCATGCATGGCGCGCTCCGCGACACGCGGAGCAAAGCTCCGCTCCTTGCTTGGACCCCTACTCCAAATACCCGATGTTTGTCAAGGCAGTTTGGGAAACCACGATGTGTTTTCCAGGTGAACTGCCTCCTTCTTTAGTAAGGGTTACCAACTATTTTTCAGGTGGGTGCCAAACAAAAGAGCACATGGCAAACCAGCGTTTTGGGAGGAACTGCCCGTGCTTGTCGCACCACCATTTTGGTGCAACGGCCGTTTCGGGGAAACTACCAGTTGTTGCTTTCGTTGTTGCAAAGGGAAGCCAACGGGAAACTACTGAATTTGGGCCTCGCCCCATGAGACCAACTGTTCGAGTGCCATGTTCTCAATGCTCCTCATTTGCAAGAGATTGGACAATGCGTCTGACCGGGTGGTCCTGTTGCTTTTTGCAGCTTGTTCCTCTCTCTTTGATGACATCTTTGAGGAATCCGGAATCACTCCGGGCCGTGCCCCACTGCAACCTTCCCCTTCGTCCTGGGACGGCTCAAACTGAGCTGATTGCTTGAGGCTTGAGGCTGGTGGAGCAGCTCGCAAGCAAGCAAGCAAGCAAGACAAGAAACACACGTTCCTCTGGATGTTGAAAGGGAACCCCCAGGCTTAAAAGGAAAAAAGGGGGCAAGCGATTCACGGGCCCGTTTGGGCAAAACTGCTCGAATTCATACGCCCCACAATACAACTGCAGGTGTCTTTCTCGAGGCAAAATCCCTTTCGGGTTGACAGGGACACCAGAAGGAACACCACACATGTTTGCTGGGGGGGGGGTCCCTAAAAAAGGACACGCCCAAGTACGTCAAAATGAAGGTTTGTACCGCCTGAAGCACCACATTCAGCCCATGAGGAATCCGTCGCAAACCCATCCGGTGGAACAGTCTCTGTGAGTTGCCCAAAGATCACCCAAGAGCACTCTCTTGTATCTTTCTTGTTGAGGCTCGGTACCAGGTTTGTTTGCTTTTTCATTAAAGGGAAACTAAAAGGAAAGCCCACCCTTTTCTAGAAGCCCCTGTGTCAAGACATAAACACTCTTCAATCGGACAACCGGACTCTGAAAAAAAGTGAGATGCCCTTTTGGATGGCCGTTAAAGAGAAACCAGAGATAGAGAGAGAGAGAGAGAGACAGAGAGAGAGAGACAGAGAGAGAGAGACAGAGAGAGAGACAACGGCGAATGGTAGACCCCTTAACCCCAGCCACATCTGCCTAGGGGGCTCACCTCAAATCCAATCTCGTGCCGGCGCCCAACTGCGCGCGCGCCCAGCGCGGTGCTCTCTTTTTTTTGCAGCCCTCAGCCCGTTTCAGGTCGACCTTGGCGCCAAGGTCGGGTGAGTCGCTTGGAGGTCCCCAACCACGCAGCCCTCACTTTCGATGGGGTCGGGCCGAACAAAGTCGAGCCTAAGTGAGAAACTCCCATGGCCATTGACTGTTGGGTTTCAAGAGACTGAACAGTCGGGTGGTGATCCACAGGAAACAAGCTGGCACCAGGTTGTGCGGCTCTTCGATTGATGGCAAAAACACGCGCGGGGGCGTGGCCCATGGCCGTTCAGCCTTTTGGTGGACATCCTTCATCTGGAAATGTTGGTTGAAGCTTAGTTGGCTGATTGTTTCCATGAGTTGGTTTGTCCGTTTTTGGGGGAATCCCCCTAAAATATGGCTTCCCGTTGGTTTCTCTCTAAAACAAACACACAACAAGTACCTTCATTAAACCAGAAAAAGCATGGATCCGCATTTATGTCCAACATTTGTCAGAGGTTTCCCAACGAAACCATCATGGCCAGTCACTCAGTCGGGTTCTCGTTTGCAGGGCGGGAGGCTCACTTCTCCGATGTCTCGGCGGGGTCACAAGGAGAGCTCTTGGTTTGGCAAAAGTCCAAGTACCCTGAAATGACTCTCTCACAAGCTGGATATGGAAACCTACCAAGGCTGTGGGGAATGGAATCCACTTCTGTGATAACAGAAAGGGCTTCCCAAAGGCTATTTTCTTCATATTCTCGGGGGTGGGGAGAAACCCCGAGCGATCCCACAACCCTGGAACCTACAATCTTCCTTAGGGTAATTTGTGGGCGGGAAGGAATTCTCTGAGCTCCGAGGTTTGTTCTCCAAAAGAGAAACCAATCGAAGCCCCCTTGTTCTCCCTTCCGGAACGAGCGAATCTCGAGTTGTGCCTCCAGTCCAAAGGGTGAACCTGCCCCTCTGGCAACAAATAATGATTACCCTAGGGTTCAACCCCCAATTAAAGGAGACTGGGGGACTGTGGTAGTGCACTTTTCTTGATTTTGGGGGTTGATATCTTGAGCAAGTTGTACGATTGCTTTTGCTGAAGAGTGTTTGTAACTGCGATTTCTGAATCACTCAAGGTCCTCTACTTTCTTCGTTTTTTGTAACATGCTGCTAATTGCTGCTGCTCATTCAAGCCAGAGTAGCTGCAATTATCTTAGCATCTTTCTTTCATTCCTGTTTGGCATTAGAGTTGAATGTGAATTCAAATAGATTCCAGTATGGAAACACAAGTTTGTTGTTTCTGCTAATTTGCCTGCCCCGTAAAAGGAGTGAAACAACAATAGAACCGCAAGGAACATGCAATTTCAGTTCTAATGGTTTACAAGCTTTAATTTGCCACGCTTCAATTTTAAATCATATTCCAATTAGAATTCAATGTAAAATATTGTTTTGAATTAGAATTAACATAGGGGTTCCTTTCCAAGTAGGATTTTGATTGGGATTTAAATAGAATATAACAAGTAGAAACAAACTTGTTGTTTCTTCTAATTTGCAAGCCCCTCAGGAGGAGTGAAAAACCGGCGAAAACCCATTAAAAACACACATGTTTCCACTTGGTTTGCAAGTTTTAAATTGCAAGGCTTTAAGTTTAAACGGGCTTTCGATTAGAATTCACTTCAAAGGTTCATTTGATTTAGACTTTAAATAGTACTTCCCTTCCAAGTAGGATTTCAAATAGACTTTAATTAGAACTCTTATTATAATTCAGATGTTAAATAGGAATTTATACTTGCACATATGAATTCAATTAGAGTTGAACTAGAATTCATATTCTAAATTATAATTTAAACAGAAATGCCTTCCAAGTCTAAATAGGAACTCCTGTCCGAAACTTAATTGAAATTTAAACATACTTTAACTAGAATCTAGCAAGGAAAGACAAGCTGGTTGTTTCTTTTGAGTAATTCAATTACATGTTTTTGAATCATGCTTGAAATAGGAATTAACTTCCAAGTATCTAGGCTGTTGATTAGACTTTAATTATACTTTTAATAGAATCTGGTAAGGATAGACAAGCTGGTTGTTTCTTCTAGTTAGTTTAAATAGACTTCTTACACTTATTTGGATGTTCAAGAGGAACTAATTAGAGTTCTGTTGGTGAAGTTGATTTGAAATAGGACTCATGACATGAGAAATCGCCTGCGCTGCTCACGAGAGAAGTGTAACTGAATAAACCATACACAACAGCCAAGAACAGAGGAGGGCCCCTCATATACATAGAATACTCCAAAAACACTCAAGAAGAACAAAAAAAAAGAACAAATGACAAAACTCGAGGAAAACCAAAAAACAAAAAAAACTCGAGAGAACCAAACAAAAACAAAAAACTCGAGAAAACAAAAAAAACATGGATGAGAAACTCGTCCAACATGGGTTGTGTTCCAAAGAGTTTCTAAACCATGTGTTTTTGTTTTTGGGGGTTTCTCGAGTTTTTTGGTTTTCTCGAGTTTTTTTTGTGTTCCTCGAGTTTTGTTTGTTTTCTCAAGATGTTTCCTCTGCACGTGTTAGATCAAGTGCAACTGACATTGCTGACCCATGAGAAGACTGCGAGCCTCAAAACGCGCAAAAAAGCGCACTACCAGGGTCCCCTGTTCTGAATTAAAGAATGGTTGACCCGATTTGGGTGATGATCGTCCTTAGGTGGCGAAACGAACCCCTTTGTTTAGGTGGTGGAACCAAATCTCAGGGATTAACTTCAAATAAACCGGTGCACTCACGGCCCACCCCCTCAGTTTTTTCATGTTGGATCATTTTCTAGCTGTTTGGAAAAGCCCTGCAAATGTTTCCTTGGGGCGACTCGGCAGCAATTTACAGCCCAGCGATTCAATCTAGCCCTGGGATCCAAAAAGGGGTCGACATGTCTCTGCGTGGAGTCCAGTGAAAACAAAGAAGTGAAGCCCTGAAACTTGCTCGAGGTCATGTTGATTCGGGTTTCCCGAGGAGAAGCCTCCCTCCACTCACCTGGGCAACTGGGAGTTACAAACACATTTCGCTTTCGCCGAGAAAAGATCCAAAGTCCACCGGGCCCAACACTTTCGCCCTGGGCTTTCGGCGCATCGACTTCGGTGCAACCTCCGCGGCTCATGTCCTTCGGGTCTCGCGAAGGCCAAAGAATTCCTAATGGCTATGGGTCAAAACCCGGGTGCCTCGGAAAGCTTTCCAAAAAGAAAGCGCAAAGGTAACCCTCCCGAAAAAGGCACCTTAGGTTTTGACCCACACATAAGCCCAAACAAGGTCTTGGGACCCTAAAGAACCGGAAAAATCCTTGGCTGCCTGTCATGGAGGGCTTGCCAACTCTCACGAGCAGGTGTCAGTAGATCGTGGAACCCAACCAAACCGACCCATGTCTAACGGAGTCTCTCCATGTGAAAGTGGGAAATATGGTGGCGCCATCGCTTAAACGACTCATTTTGGGCCCCCTTAGGGCTCGTGCTCTTCAAGCTACAAGGACCATCCCAAAAGTGACTCAAGTCCAACTCGCATCTTTCAGAACCCATGCCTGCGATTGACTCGCGTGGCCCTCGAAAGGAACAACCCCCGTCCCTGTTTGAACAACGCTCGGTGGTGCGAGCCTCTGCTGGCACAGGGCCACACGGGGCCCTGGGCCCGAAATGGTCGACGATGCCGAAACCTGATCCCCAGCCGGTCAAGAGGGGCTCCCTTGCATTCTTGCAACTTTTAGTGAAACAACCCGAAACAGAATTCCACTTTTTCACTACCCCAAGATAGACTTAAA